TTCTTACCTCTACCTTGCAGGCCAATGCACCCTCGTGTCACATCTGTATACAAACCACAGAAAAGAGCATCGGCAAGTCCCGTCGCGTGGGAAGAGCCCGTGCTGCCCGCGAAGAGTTTGAGCATGCTGTAATGCAGTACGCCCAACCTTTCGGCGACTTTGCTGTGACCCCAGAAGGAGACTATTCTGGGCTCTCATGCGCCCCAAATGGTATAGATAAGCGAAGTCAGCACGCCATATAGCACACATTTGAGTAACCCGACAGAAAACCATGGGTTGAACAAGTTTGGGAGTACGCCCAAATGGATGAGCGCTTACTCTAGATAAGTGACTAACTCCAACAAGTCCAATCACTTGCCCTCCAAAACCGGTCTGCACCGAAGCCAAGGGAAACATGTTCCAGGGGCTGTGCTGACAGCTCGTTCTCGAGCCGACTGCGTTCTCAACTCACATTGGATATGTACAATGACCCAATGTACTAGCAGATAGTTGCTAGGCTGGTAGTGGAGACAAATATGGTGTAAAGAAACCTTGTTACGTGTTTGTCCTTAGACGATACACACTGCTCATGATGCACTACAAGACGAGCCACAGCTGACTGGAAGAGACGATCGAGTGTCCTCGATACACAGGATCGATCGCGATCGATCGCATCTCACTGCGCGATTGCACGTTCACACTGAGCAGTGCGACCAGCTTTGTTCGAGTTTACTGACTCGAAGAGAACATTGAAGCAACATCGCTACGCCCCTGCACGTACACCGTGTCTACGAGCCGTGGCGCCCCTACGGAGTTTTAACTGCGGGCGGGTGAGCCCGCCTGTGCGCACTTTCATGCGCGGCGTCCGCTTTCGGGTACTATAGTGGAGTCAGCACATGCAAGCTCCCGATCGTTTCGTCGTCGCTTCAACGTCGACACTGACACCACATTCAAAGGTCCACACGAGAAGTGAAACCCCGATGTTCCAACTTCGGCGCACTCTACCGAAGGAAAAAAGCTTCGGTCAGTCAGACACGCTTAGTCCATTCCATCTAATGCCGGCACGATTGTTTCGCTGGAACGTGTTATTTGAGCCCACTATATACGTGAATGTTGAGTACAAACGGAGCAATATCACATCCAACAAGACTGTGCTATGCATCACCAGGGTATACCATGGTCTATCACGACATCCATCGTCTCGAGTCCGGGGCACGCCTCTTCTGTTCTTGGGCCCACCTCAGTCGTACCGATAATCTTCCCTGTAAGACCTGCATCGAGATGGCCTATATGGGCTGCGCGCGCATGATTTGAGACAGAAGCGGAGAGTTCGAATCGAGCTGTCGAAGCAGCGGCTCCGCGGGTAGAGACGAGACTGCGGCAAGCAGAGGTGGGTACGCGTTGTGAAGTGACGGGAAACTCACTGTCCAGACTTTGCCAGGGGACAGATTGGGCTGAAGCTGGACGTCGTGGTCGTGCTTCATGTTCAGTATCACGAAAAGTTCAAGGATATCGCGGAGACGAGCGGTAGAGAATACATTCATAGAGAACTTGGAACAACAATTACTTTTCCATTAACATCGACGCCGTCGCTAATGCCAACAAGGAGGTTTAGTACGATCACGCTTTACCAGCCTTTCTCGCCTTCCGCGCTTGTCTCTTTTTCGCGATGATTCTTGTCCGCTGCGCCAGCTTCCCGTCTTTGCCCTTGACTGCACCGGAATCCGCGCCAGCTTCCGCAGCACCCGTACCCTGCTTTCCCTTACCGCTGTCCTTGCCCTTGCCCGCCTTCTGACCCGCAGCGCTAGAATCACGCTTGCGCTTCTTGCCTGTGGTTGCACCCGGCTCGGCATCATCGTTGTCAGCCTCGCCATCAGCCTTCGACTTGGGTGGCTCTCTGGCCTTCTCCTCGCGGTCTGAGCGCCTGTTGACAACATTGGCATTCTCGATGGCAAACTCGACAATAAGGCGTTTCCGCTTGTCTGCGAGTGCTTCTTGAGCAGCCTTTTTGCTCTTTGGCGTGGGTCCAGATTTGATCTTGTAGTCCACAGCGTGACCATTAAGCCATCGAAGACCCATCAGCGCATTTCGGTGTGTGTAGTACTCGATGAACCCATATCCTCTGCTCCTTCCTGCACCAGTGTCTTCGGATACTTTGCTACCAGCGGGTGTCTCGAAGACGACCTTGGCTTGCTTGACAATACCCTTGCCCTTCTTCTTACGCATCTTCTCCGCGACGAGCATTTCTTGACCGCCACGGATGACTTCCTCTTTATTGAGCTTCTGTCGCTTGCCCTCCTTGACATCGGCAGCGAAACCGACGACGGCGCTACGAGCAAGCTGCTTCAGGTCCTTGGATGTGATGCTGCGAGGAATGTTACGTACCGAGAGGCGCGTGAGAGATAGATGGAGCGATGGGTTTTCCTGGATCTGCTTACGGCGCATTGTTGCACTCTCTTCACGCATTTTGATTTCAGAGGGCGAGAGCTTCTGGTAGAGTGGCGAGTTGGAGGCAATGGTTCCTTCGGAGAGAAGGTAGAGGCGACGCTTGTCTTTGTCACGGCTGAAGCGCGAAGCAGCGCCTTCCGCTGTCAGACGCGTAGCTTCATTCTTGTCAACTGCGCGTGAGATTTGTAGGATGCGACCGTCAATGGTGTATTTGCCTGTTGGGTCGGCGTCTTCGTCTTCGAGTACTGAGTGTGTAACGGTGATGGTGGAGCCGTCCTTCTTGTCGAGGTTCTTCTTCTGTAGCTTGACGCGTGGGACGCCTTTGAGGCAGTTGATCATGTCTTCTTCTGCAAAGAATGAAACGAATCCTGTGCCCTTTGGTCGTTCGGTCTCGCGGTCGACCACGACGCGCGCGAATCGGATGCCACCGAATTGCTGGAAGTGCTCTTTGAGACGTTCGTCGTCAACCGTGAAAGGCACATTGCGCACGAAGAGAGTGTATTCCTCACGCTTCGGTCGGGTGTCCTCTTGTTCAAGCTCCACTCCACCATCTTCGTCATCCTCTGATATGTCCTCGTAGTCGGTGTTGCTATCGTCTTCGTCGTCGTCGTCGTCGCTATCGTCCGCTTCAGAGTCGTCATCATCCGAGCTGACAGCAGAGCTCTCGGCGTCTTCCATATCTTCGTCTTCGTCTTCTCCGTCAGGTTTGGTATCGTCTCCCTTCTGTTCAGTCTTTTGCAGGCTCTGCCATGTCTCCCGATCCACAGCCCAGTCCACAGCGATGGGTCTTTCGTCGACCTCCTTGCCGTTCAGCTCTTGTATCGCCCTCTCCGCGTTCTTCTTCCCACGTAGCGAGACGAAACCGAAACCTCTCAATTCACCATTGGGCTTTTTGGGCAGATTGACAAAGTTGACTTTGCCATAGCTTTGGAACAGCTTCTGTAGATCGTCCGGCGTCTTTATGGTCCATGGCAAATTGCGAATGATCAACTTTGGCGTCTGCGCATCCTTGATCTGCTGCTCGCGCTCTGCCTTGGCCTTGTCACCAGCCCGCGGCCTCTTCTCCTCGCCTTCACGTTGTCTTGCCTCAGCAAAGTCGACCTTGATCTTCTTGCCCTTGATCTCCGTATTGTTCAACTCCTCCTTCGCTCTTTGCGCATCTTCGACGTCGGCGAACGTTACGAATCCGTAGCTTTTCGATTCCCTGGTTTCCTTGTCTAGAACAACGAGCGCGTTCTTAATTGGGTACGATTCAGAGAAGTATTCGGTAAGGTCTTCGGTCGTAACGGTGGGCGCAAGCCCGCGAACGAAGAGTTGTCGGCGCGCAGCTTCTTTGGGCGCCGCTGTAGAAGAAGTGGACGGTTGCTCGGCGTCAGCGGTTGCTGTGACGGCTTCAGCTCCATCGAGCGAGAGACGCTGGCGCTTTCTTCGGGGAGCCATTGCAAATAGATGAGGCGAAAATCGTTATATGCAGTTCTGGTCTTTGGACATGCCTTGCAAAAAAAGTTCCAGTATCTCGGCGCACAGATCCACCGCGCCGGCCTTGGCGGCTGCATGGAAAAGTGGGGCCAGACCCTTTCAGTTGGAGCTCTCGATGGAGACACCTGCGCCGGCCTCTGCTTTCCAGCTGGATCTCTCCCCTTCAACTTCACCCTTTCCTTCACCGTTCAGACTTGGGTCCATTCGAGTCGAATTTCGGATCGCGATCTGTTGCATGAGATGCTTCGCCCAACTGGGGAAGCCGAGGCGTCAGCCTGCACATCCCCACTCAACCTAGGTCATGGGAACTCATATCTTCGCGCATCGCTATCTATGGCTGCACGTTATTCGAGCGATGCCGTTGTTGACGCAGATTGGAGTACAAAAGAGCATGCGTTTTTGAAATCCCATCTTGTCGACTCGCTACGCTATCAACGTGCATCAATCACGTAACCGCATAGGAGCTTACCTAGGTACGCTCACAGCAACGAGCTGCGAGAACAACAAAGCCATGGAAGTAGAAACTGTACATCTCGGCGCAAGTATCTTCATGATTACTTACACCACTTCGTATCAGGGTTATCCCTTCGCGCATCACACGACGTCGCTGCCTGAACCGTAAGCCTACACCATTGTTGTTGCTCCAGAACGGAAACGGCCATTTTCGGAAGGTGCTCCGGTTATGTGGAATGGTCTGAATTGTGAAACGTTTCTACTCTGAAAACTTCAATATTCCGCGGGATTGATACAGAGCGGCAGTCGTGTCCGTTGCAGCATTCCTAACGACGAGGTGTGTTGAACAGCAAGATCTGCCTCGTCTACACCCCATAGCGTTAGCACCCGGCACTCAACGTCTGCACGCAATGCCATGGATACTGCTCCTTTGACACTTCTGACACCGAAGCTACACCGGCGCAATCAAATGGCTTATCAGGCGTCGCTTAACTACTGCCCAACGTATCCTAGCCTCCCCCCGCGGCGGAGTGTGGTGCCGCCCATGTGAAGCCCATGGCACACACACAAGAGGGGTAAGCGCCGAAGAAGGATCTCTCAACATTTTGTCATCTTTCGAGTATTCAGAGAACAGTTCAACAATGTCGCGTCGAGGCTCTGGGGCAGGCGAGAGCGACGCGCTATTGAGCGCTGGCGAGGTCATCGCATCATCTTCTCGCAATTATTCCACAAACGATAGCACAACGCCCACCGAAGGGGAAATCATAAGAGATGGAAAGTTGCTGGGCGAGAACAAAGAGAAGCCTGTTGACCACAATAGGACTGACGACCCGGAGCGTTCACGATCTTTGGCGGAGGAAATTGGAGATGAGGGTATTTCCCTGTACGAGAAAAAATGCTTGCTCATCAACCGCGAGATCGACCTCATGGGAATGGGACGATACCAATGGTCGATATGGGCACTTTGCGGCTTTGGCTACATGATCGATTTGATGTGGGCACAAGCCTTCGGACTCGTTCTATCGCCAATTCAACAGGAACTTGGGTTTGGTGCTGACCAAACTGGAAAACTGTCCACTGCCTTTTCCATCGGACTCACAGCCGGTGCATTTGTGTGGGGTGTTCTCGTAGACTTGATCGGGAGAAAGACCTCTTTCAATCTGACAGTCTTCATTGCGTGCGTATTTGGAACATGCATCGGCGCCCCGAGCACTTACAACGCCATTCTGGTTCTAACAGCGTTTACTGGGTTCGGTGTCGGAGGCAATATTCCCATCGACACTACAATTACTCTGGAAGCCACACCACAAAGCAAGCGTTACCTTCTTCCGCTGTTATCGATCTTCCAGCCCATCGGTGTTGTCATCTGTTCCGTGCTCGCCTATGGGTTCATCCCAAACTGGTCTTGCAGTCCAAACTTTTCGGAAGGAGATCGAGCGTTGCCTGCCTGTGGCGCTGTTGCGACAGGGGAACAGTGTTGTTCAAGAGAGGATAATATGGGATGGCGATATCTCCTCTTCACGCTAGGGGGAATCACCATAGTCGTCTTCGTCTTACGATCAGTCATCTTCACCTTCCAAGAGTCGCCGAAGTTCCTCATATACCGTGGCAAGGATGCCGAAGCCATCGAGGTACTGCACACGATGGCTCAATACAACGGATCCAAATGTGACCTCGTTTTAGACGATCTCGTATCCCTAGAGCACGAGTATGATTCAGAGCGACGTCATGGACCTATGCTCGGAGGTGGTGTCAAGCAGCTCAAATCTACATGGACTGAGAAACTCAAACTGGAAGGCGATCGCTTCAAACTCCTATTCTCGAGCTTTCAGATGTCAAGGTTGACGCTTTTGGTATGGTTGACATACATATGCGATTACTGGGGTTTTACCGTTGCTGGTGAGTTTCACGCCTGCCTCGCTTGATGAACACATCTTAACATACAACGCAGGCACTTACCTCCCACAAATCCTGGCTGTGAAGAATGGCGCCCTCGATCTTTCTCTCCGCTACACATACCGCTCTTACATCTTCATCTACCTCCCTGGCGTGCTCGGTGTTGTGCTAGGAACTCTATCTTACCGCGCATCGCGGGTTGGTCGCAAATGGACAATGGTCGTATCTTCTGCATTGATGGGCATCTCGATCTTCCTATTCAGCAGCGTCAACTCTGCAGCTTCGAACATAGGCTTCAACGTCATGGAATACTTCTTCCAGTCCATGTTCAATTCCGTTTTGTATGGTTGGACGCCTGAGGCCTTCCCAGCACCCATCCGAGGAACAGCTTGCGGTATCGCGAGTTTCTGGGGCAGGTTATTTGGTATTGTCAGCCCACTCATTGCGCAGCACTTGTATGCGGGCGATGGGGCTGGAAGAGATATCAACAGCGTATTATACCTTGCTGGAGGTGTGACATTGGGCTGCGTCATCACAACGGCACTGCTGCCCAGCAATCTCGTAGGCCGGCAGAGCCTGTAGAGATACGGATACATGAAGAGGAAGGGAGTTTGTATTTCATCAAAGGTACATGGGCTTCTTAGGAACCTTCCATGGATGGGATGTCTCGACAGGCAAACTTCGGAAATAGATAGGAACATTTGTGAAGCGTTCGCCACTGTAGATACCCGTTACAATACGTAGCATTCATTACTAGAACGAGACAAACAATATATGGGTAAAGCAATCCAAACAGCAAGTGTTTCAGTCGATCGCACGTGCCAGGCCAGCAAGAAAGCTGACCTGACAGGGCTCGTGCTAACCCTCTAGCATTCGCACAGTTCCCATTCTTTTGACATAAGCCAATGCAATCTACATATACTCCTTAACGCCGTCGATGCTCGTAACGTTAACCCAAGATCATAACTTCGTCTTTCCTGTGGCTTCTGCTCTCCTTTGCTCCATTATGTACCCACTCGCAACCGGACTGCAACCGTGACTAGCGAATTGTGGTATAGGAAACGGCGGCTTCTTCAGGTTCTGGGTGAAGAAGACGGGATGCCGTATCGCGCTGTCGTACACGGGTGTGAAGAAGGTGGCTGGTGTTTGCGGGGGACCGAAAGGTGGCATGGCTTCGACTTGAGATCGAGGCCTTGGAGGGTTCAGAAGCGAGCCTGAGTGTTGTGTCGTAGGCTGCTGTGGGGGTTGGGATGGCGCGTGGCCGGCGCGTCGCTGTTGGTGCGCGTATGAGGGTGCTGAGGACTGCTGGAGAGGCTACATCTTGTCAGCAAGCGTTAGGGGGTTACCATGGAAAGCGGCGGACCTTTGGCCTCGAAGGCTGCAGACTAGAGATCATGTCAAGTTGCTCGCGCGACAACGACTCAGCCAAGTCTCCATCCGTCGCAATAACGATGCGGGACCTCAGCTATCACGTACCTCGGCAGACAGCGACCGCGCGCGACGTCATTCCTACTTTGTCGCGGACACGGACACTTTTCCGCTGCGGCAAACACCACCCAATCCAGACCAAATATCCACCAACATGAGCGCAGCAACACCCATCTCTCGACATGCGCAGAACGCACGCGCTGTTCTTTGCAGCCACGCAATGTGCACGTCTCCACGCTTCACGTAGACTCTATTCTTCGCCGCCCATTGTCAAAATCGCCAATGGCACGTTCTATCGCCAACACCCTTCTTCAAAGGGCGACAATGCGTCTTCAAATCCAACATTGTTCCCGGATCTGACGCTATCTCTACCATCTTTCTCGACACCGAATCAGCACTGGGCGATTTTGAGCCCATCTTCCGACATCCGTACCGCATTTCTTCAAATACTTCGCGGTCAACTACTTTGTTTCCCACCAACGGCACGGTCTTTTCCTTACCTCCTCACTCCAGCCATCGCCGAGGAAAGACCACGCCTCCGCTTCCCAGAGCGAGCCATCGAGTATGTGGGCTTCGATGTTGAGCGGAAGGCTTTCGGTGGCGCCTATCTATCGGCACGGTATGAGTCTCTGAGAGAAGATACGGACTTCACTGTTCAAAGGTACCTAACCGGTATCGTGACGATGAATCCTGGTGAAGAGGAACTAAAAGCAAAGAGCGTGGATGAAGAGGACATGACGCGGGTTATGCGGGATTTAGAATTGGAGAAGTTCATCGACAAGCCAGTCAGCATGCTGAGCAATGGGCAGAGCAGACGGGCGAGGATTGCGAAAGCGCTGCTGAGTAGGCCTGAAATGCTTTGTTTGGATGCACCATTTAGTGAGTTTTGATTCCACATGTGCACTACTATCATATGTTTGAGAGGAGCGAGCTAATAGTGTAACAGTTGGACTTGATCCCATCGTCACAAGGCACATCTCCAAGGTTTTGCATCGGCTCGCAGAAGCTAATGCACCACGCATTGTCCTCAGTCTGAGACCGCAGGACGAGATACCGGACTGGGTTACGCATCTCGTGTACGCAGGAGAGGATGGAAAGGTCGAAAAGATGGGGCTAAAGGAGGAGGTACTAGGTCATTCGCAGATGTATGGGCAAGCTGAAAGCACTAGGAACTCGACGCGGAGTTCGGTCAGCATAGAGACAGGCGAAACAGGACGACTTCCGCCTGGAAGAGAAAGCTCTACGAGATCATCGGATTCGGCAATCCTAAGTCGCGATGGTCACCGAGATACCGACGATTCTGTGCCCGAGATTGGCGAAGCCGTCGTCGAAATGCAAGGAGTACGCATAGCTTACGGCCAGAACTCCGTCTTGGGAGATTGGCAACAGGATGTCAACGGGTCACCTCAATCCGGGCTTCACTGGAACGTGCATCGCAATCAACGTTGGGGTATCTTGTAAGTATCCTCATCAGCGAAAGGGATGTGAGGTATACACTAACTTTATATGTCTACATTTAGCGGTGCCAACGGTTCTGGCAAAACTACGCTTCTCTCGCTCGTAACATCAGATCACCCACAAACATACTCGGCACCTGTCAAACTCTTCCAACGCTCGCGTTTGCCCGAACCCGGTGTTCCAGGCATCACCATTTTCGAGATTCAGTCACGAATGGGCCATGCAAGTCCGGAAGTCCATGCCCTGTTTCCAAAGAGACTCAGATTGAGGACGGTGTTGGAGAGTGCATGGGCAGATACGCCAATCACAAAGCCAAGACTAGATGATGAAGCGAGGAAGAGAGTCGAAGCTTGCTTGAAATGGTTTGAAGCTGAACTCAGACCTGGCTTCAGTGGTGACGGAAGTGCGAGTCTGGAGTGGGCATCCGACACTTTGTTCGGTGAGGTCTCGTTCTCCGCTCAACGTGTACTCCTTTTCTTGCGCGCCACGATCCGAAATCCTGACATCGTTATCCTGGATGAGGCGTTCAGTGGCATGGACGACTTCGTTCGCGACAAGTGTCTTCTGTTCCTTAGTCGCGGCCAAGGCATGGAACTCGTTTCCGTAGATGGTGGTTTGAAACCGGTGAAGTGGGAAGGTGAGGTTGTGGTACCAGGCTTACAAGAACACCAAGCCCTGCTGTGTGTCAGTCATAGTAAGCATGAAGTGCCTGGGTGTATACGAGAGTGGGTTTGCCTACCTGAACCAGGCACTGGACCACCAAGGTTTGGCCGATGTGATGGGCCTGTGGAGCTGGATGCGGGGCGATGGAATGAAGTATGGAATGAAAAGCACTAGAGCTTGACACCATCGTATTCGAGCCAAAGCATACATACTATCTACTGTCGGTCCTCCTTCACGACTTCCTTCCTCTTCTCTTCAAGCTTATCCGACCGCTCCAGGATCTCACCAGCCAGCCTTTCCAAATAAAACTTGGAAACGTCGACTGGTAGATCCTTGAATGCTCTCACAATCTTCTCCACATCTCTTCTCCCATTCTCATATGCCTGTAGGTCCCTGTTACCATAAACATCTTTGCCAGCCGCGTATCCTTTCTCCAGGCCCTTCCAGAACACATTGACTGCCACGCTCACGCCATCTTCCGGCGTAGCTGTATGACTCCACATGGGTGGTATGAATAAGACATCACCAGGCTTGAGTGAAGCAATGTGCGGATGAGTGCGTCGAAGTCTTTGGTCCTTCGAAGTCAGGACATCAATATTGGAAGATGAGCCTCCAGGAGGGAAGCCCAACAGAGCAACATCGGTGGGCGGGTAAAGAAACAACGTCTTTGATCCGCGGACTTGACATAGGATGTTAGATAGGACATCATAATGTAGCCATAAGGTCACAGGTCCTGAGATGCGAAGGGGCGAGCTGTGGTAGTTTTCCTTGACTATTCCGCATACGTCTGGTATGCGGAAGTCATCGGATATAGTCGGGAAATCATCTTCGAGCTTGGTAGGCAGCTTATTTGGCTGGCTTGAAGATACAGCTCGAAGATATTCATGGGATCCTTTTGCGATACCGTCTAGGAACTCTGCCACTGACTTCTTGACGTATGAGAAGTTTTTGTCCTTGAACGTCATACGATCTGATGAGCATTCATGGATGACGAGTTCTCTCTCTGGGCCAAGCTTTTCTTTCAGGTAGTCAAGTGTCCATAGGTCTGTGCACGGGCCGATATCGAGGCCTTCGATGATGGCCGGTTTTGCGGTAGCCGCCAGCTTCGCAAAGTCATCTGACGACTCAATCGTTACCCTTGCGATCTCGGTAGTACGTGCAGTAGTGTTTGGCCTCTTCTCCACACCACCTTTCTGTCGCCGACCTTTGGGTCCCGTTTCAGTCGTGTTCGCTTGTGCTGTGCCTTCTGTGCCTGCTGTGCCGCTGATCTGACTCGGCACAACGCGACGCCACGACTTGGCCCCTTGCGCATTGTCAGGAAGGATGACGATCGGGTCTTCATTCCAGTAACTTCCCATTGAGAAACAGACCGCCCCTCCTCCTGCAAGCACAATCTCGCCTCGAGAGGTTGAAACGGCCCCTACACCCACTAGCAAAGGCCATGTCGTCGGCGACAAGGCCTGCATACTGGGATGCTCCACCTCGATGGTCGTTTCCTTGCATGTTAAGAGCAGGAAGTCGTCTGATAGAGAGTGGATATGCTTCTTTGAAACACCTCCAATCAACAGCAGAGAATCGTTCCAGGGAACTAGACTGGCACCTATACGCGCGTATGCAGAGTTCTCCACGGTGCTGCGAACGTCATTGGCGCGGTCCTTAAAGTTGAGTCTAGGTGTTGGTGTGGCGGAAATGGACCACTCCCACACCGCGTCTTGCACGACCACGCCGCTCTCGTCTGCTCCACCCGTCAGCAACCCCCAATTTTGAGCAAAATCGATCGTGGACATTGCTGCGGCGAAGCGTGCAGACGGGCGCGGTCCGTCGACGGGAATGCTGTTCCATCCGCCGTTGGCAGTCCATAAGGCACAGTAGTGTTCGGCATCGAGTACTGTGCCGTCACTGGCTTTGCCACCAAAGACAAAGACGCCATGGATCGGTGACTCCACACTTCCTAATACAACAGCAACAGCAGAGTGGCGGTACCGAGCTGGCACAAGGTCGTCCACTCTGGCCCAAGCTCCCTGATTGAAGAG